AGAAGCGGCTCCACCTGCTCTGACCTGAGAGGTATTGCTCTCTAAAATAGCATCCCATGAAATCACCCAGTTCCAGTGAATGTAGTCAGATGAATCCACCAGTGAACGAACTGTAGCTTGTAATAAATATGTTGTGTACTTAACTGTTTTGGGGGACTTTCAGAGACAGGATCCTGCAGGTGTGCGGTTGTGTCATGCGTCTGAATGAGACAGAATATTTATAACCAGCGGGGATGCCCTTACCTAACTGACATGCATTTATTTCTATATTACTAAAAGGCGCTACTCAGCTTGCTCCAAACAAGTCTTCATTTCCTCTTTCCACCATCAGTGTTTGCTAACCTTACTGCACAGGAAAGCACAACTGTGAAATATAAATTTCTTCTCCCCATCTGGGGTCTAATTCAACCCTTTACCCACAGTCACAATACAAAGGAAGTGTAGCATTAGTGTGCAGGGTGAATGTCACTGAGCCTACTTCTCTTTATTTGCATTCAGGAGAGAATCACTCTGTACTGTCTGACCGTGTCCTGACCACAGTCTGCGTTAGTGATGAACTGAGGCCCCATCATGCTTATGCATTAGTCTGCCACTGTTAAAGTAATATGGCTCGTATGTCCACAGCCATGTGTCAGGAATAGGGAAGTGATACATATTCTAATGGAGCACTTCCCTTTTCCTGCTCAGTCATAGACGACCCCTGTAGAAAACACAGGCTTCATCGCAGCCACTAAGGAAGGATGCAGCATTATTACTGAAAGACCACATGGAGGGTTCACATCCTTATTTTGCTCTTTTATTCACAATGCAAAGGCAATATCAGTAATGTAAGCTTGTCTGTAAAGCTGTATAGAGAACATACAATATTTTGTGGCTGAATGTGGAGCAGATCATTCCTACATGTGATGCAGAAAAGTCAACTGTTTATCTCCTAGTGTGATGTAGTGTTGTAGTCAAGACCGCCCAAACTGAGACCAAGTCAAGACCAGGACCAGAGTTTATCGAGACCGAGACAAGACCAAGGCCTTTGGGGCCTGAGACCAAGACCGAGAGAGGGCGAGACCAAGTCAAGACCAAGACCAGTTCCCTACATTACATGACACAATAAAATGTGGAATGACATCATCGGTACTTCTTAAATTGATCTGAAAGATCCACATTCCCATTAAAGCACCCACATACAAACACTCTGATCTGAAATCAACGTAAGCATCTTTATTCAACACTCCTTTTCCATGTTTACCATCGCGAGTAGAGGTGACAGTCGTTAACGGGAACAACACATTTTTAGTCAGGGTTATTGGTTGCATTTGAAGCAAATTTACATCCAATCAAAGTTAGGATGTTAACAAATAAATCAGACAATGCAAAAGCAATTTATTGATATTCCCAAAGTTGTCGTCTTGACTGGTCTTGAAATAAAATCCTGAGTCCTCAATGTCTGAGACAAGACCGAGTACAAATGTGGTCGAGTCCGGGACGAGACCAAGACCATCAAAAAGTGGTCTTAAGACTTGAGTATTACAACACTAGTGTGATGCCAGTTTTAATCCAAAAAGCGATACACATTCTGAACTCTGATCTCTGAACGCTGAGGATGGTGGATTAAGCATGACCCCTCATGTATTATGTATTATATATAGTAATGTGGTGTCTGTATGTACATGTATGTTACTTTATATGTTAATGTCTAAATATCTATTGTCTAAATGTTGGAACCTGTATCAGAAAACTGTATTGGAAACAAATTCCACCAGCCTGGCTGTGTGGTCATTAAATTAAATCAATCAATCAATGCCACAATGGCTTGCAAAAAATATACAAGCGAGGTAACAGGCCCTTAGCTTGCCATCACAAACACACGTATGAATATGAGTCTGTGGAGGAAAAACTTGTATCAAGCAGGCACAACTAAGGTTAAAGTTTTTTTTATTGGGAATTCTAGCTGGATTATCCTTCCTCATTCATGTCTCAGGTACATGTCCCACAGGTGCAGAAAGGCATGCATTGGCAACAGCCCAAACAGGGTCACTCACTAGGGGAATGGCAAGTCTTGTTTTCATGATGTTTTTGCCTGTCGTTGTCATTGTGTGCAGTTGTGCTGCTTTTATGTATTTCTGTGTGTAACTGGTTCATGATGACATGTCTTCCCTGTGATGCACAGTTCTGTGAAAAAGACCCCCCCCTTCTATAACAGTCCCACACAGAATTATACTCACACTTAATCTTATGTCTTATCTCGCTCACACCCGCATGTATCACACATGAAGCATTGTTGACTTTAGAAAAGTTGGGTGTTGTGGAACTGGAGTTTCAGTGAAATGTTCCAGAGAACCTGCTACAGTTCTTGTAAACAGCCACACCCTATGAATGACTTAGCCATGAACTGACAAGCTTCAGCTTAAATTTGTTTGTGTGTGTGTGTGTGAATGCGTTTGTGTGAGAGGTGAGAATTAGAGAAAAACAATAAAAGTTAGAACTTGATAGTTGATTGTATTGTGCTGTATGTGTACACAGTTCTAGCAAATAGAATCTGCTCTGCCTTTTAGAAACAGGGTATGCATCTTTTTTGATTTAATATTATTAAATTACACACACAGACACACACGTTAGCTCACCCTGTTCCAGATCTGTATTGCCAACTACATACTTCACATCTCTCCATTTGCTGCGAAAGGTCCCATGACCTTTGACTGATGACATTTTTCTTTATGCTCCAGAATGCCACAGTGACTGATATTCCTAATCAGCAAGTAAATCTTTTGTTTTTAGTCAACAACAGACAAATTCTTAACTGAAAATGAAAACCTTTTCCTACAGTCACAAAATTCCTAGTGGACCTGGATCAGTCGTGTTTTGACATTTTTCATGACGATTGCTACACAAAAGCACCACAATGCAACTATTACAGAATGCAGTATAGGACATCCACAGCAACACAGGTTATTGTGCAGATAACAGCTTTATCAGATACTGGATCAGATGTAGCATCAGGGCATATGCCATTTCAAGATTTAGACAGTCTTGATGACTGCACTGTTTTTTGGGTTTGTACTTCTATTTGCACTTTGCGCCCTCTGCTGGTCTTGGCCAGGCAGGGCATGTCAACAGGGCATGTCAAAATAGATGTGACTAACACCTCAGTCATGAAGAATGTGTCTTGGTAATTGATGTTGACGTGACACTCTTTGTGTTGTAATGTTCACTCTTATAAAAGTAACCGTCAACCTTCCAAGTTGGAAGAAAATGGTTTCAAAACATCTCGTCAAAGCCTAAATTAGAGGAATAATATATGCCTGACAAACAAAAAGTTTGGCTGTGAGTCATGTGCTCCACCTTGCTTATCTAGAACTAAAAGATCCTTAGTTGCACTGTTCAGAGCTGGAATAATCTTCCTGTGGTTACTGAGTTGGGCAGATGTAAAATATTCAGAGGAAAACTGATGATGTGACCTGTGTGAAATGGGAGAAGTGGAAAGCGAGTCCCAGTTTTTTTGGATTGTAGGATGATTTAAGAGTATTCATTTTCCATGAAATGGAAATGGTGTAGAGATGTTCAAAAAATTTTAATCATTCTTTAATTTTTTAATGTTTCAGTCAGCAAACTTGCCTGTAGGATGGCACAATAGATAATCCATTTAATTAGTATTTACTCACATTTCCCCAGTATTATATAGTAAATATTTTTGTCTCTGATCTATACATTTTGTTATGGACAATCATGGTTTGAAGATCTGGTTGTTTTGTATTTGTTGGACTAAATTTGTATGAATTTGTGGTGTCTTGTAAGCACGTGTGGGGTGGGCATTGTTCAATACAATTTCAGCCCAGACTAAGAGATGTTTAATCACTAGCTGTCAGGGAATCCCCCTCTCCTTTAATTAGACACAACAGAACATTGAGCTGCAGGAAGTGATTACCTTCTTTTTTGCCGCCAGAGGCCGCAAGTGTCCCATTTTTATTAAGAGACGGTCTTTACTTTCAGACTCAGGCTGTCTCACTGCCAGAAGTTGCTGGGAATGAGACTTTTCCATCAACAAAACGTATTTCGAAGGTCTTTTGATAAAGCTGTACAAAACTAACAGGGAATAAAACAAATAGCGGCGTGACATAAGTTGGCAAAATGATAAAAGTAGAGTATGACGATGCCGTTGTGTTTTAACTGTCCAGTCAGATGTGGTGCTGAAATGCTGCATCCGTGCATCTGCACTTTGTGTTGGGTTTGGTTTTTACAGTAGGCTACAAACACTAAAGGAGCTGTTCTCCTTCAGACAGGAGCTAAATAGTTACATTGAATGTAACTAGACTTTCCACCGATAACCTGTCAAGCAAGTGCCAACAAACTTAACCTGCGGAACACTGAGTTGAGAAGTAACTGTAATATGCTCTTTCAGACGCCTACATGTCATAAACATGATGTTTACTTTTAAATAAACGGCGTCCCTGCGCGAGCTTTATAATGGCCAATTATTGTGCCCAGAGACACGCTTGCAATTTATATTGCTCTGTAAAGCTGTAGCCTGGATACAGGAGAGAGCGTCCTTGGTATTTGTGATTGTAAAGAACTGGAGGAGAAAGATAGCCGAGGGGGAAGACTGATAATTTGAAGACTTGCCAGGGGTACATTGTCAAATTCAAAAGGCATTTCAAAGAACCTACCATTCACTTTTTTCATTCTCTCTTCTTTTTTCTTCCTTCTCTGTCTTTTTTTCCGCTTTCTTTCTTTTCGCACGGTTGCAGGCCGTTTGAATCGACCAATGGGCCTTCAAGTTAGAGACATTGGAATGTAAATGAGCCCAGCGCGTGCTCCCGGCGCAGTGAAAGCTCGGGATTGTTTATTGAGCTCCCGGAGCCACGCGCCTGGCCCGGGGGAGTCGGCGTGCAGAAGAATCACACAGCGGGGGCGGGGCCTGGCTACGAAGCGTGCGTCTCCAAAAAGGGGTGGGTGGGGTGTGTGTTGGGGGCGCGTGTTGAAAAAGAGGAGTGTTGCCAAAGTTTGGGTCAGATCGGCTCGTGGAGTAAAAGCAGTCAAGAGAGACTTGGACTAGAGTTAGCCACACGGTCCCCACGCGAAGGACACGAGAGCTGTACACTGCCAACGCTTTCCACTCTTCCTCCTCTTCTCGTCCCACTGTTAGGGGCTGCAATCGCCCTCTGCATCCATCCTTTCAGAAGAACTGTCAGCGAGATGGAAACTACAACCATCACCACCACGCAGACTGCATTCACCTTTGGACTTACTGAAAGACGCGCCAGCCTCAGCCTGCACGCCCCGGCCCAGGACTGCACGGTCCCCGCGGCGCACCCCAACACCAGCGCTGCCGGCTTCCAAAGCAAAACCAAGGTGCTGAAGAGACAGCGCTCCAGCTCGCCGGAGCTCCTGCGCTGCAAGCGGCGCCTAAGCTTCAACGGCCTCGGCTACTCCATCCCTCAGCAGCAGCCCGTGGCAGTGGCCCGGCGGAACGAAAGAGAGAGAAACCGGGTCAAACAAGTCAACATGGGTTTCCAAACGCTGCGTCAGCATGTGCCCAACGGCGCCGCCAACAAGAAGATGAGCAAAGTGGAAACCCTGAGGTCTGCGGTGGAGTATATCAGGGCTTTACAGCAACTTCTGGACGAACACGACGCTGTGTCAGCTGCTTTTCAGTGCGGGTTGCCGTCCCCGACACTTTCCAACAGCTACTCCGCCGACCCGGAGTCGCCTCACTCCACTTACTCATCAGACGAAGGTGGTTATGAGCCCCTGAGCTCCGAGGAACAGGAGCTGTTGGACTTTACAACCTGGTTCGACAGGTACTGAGGCTGACAGCATCAAAACCACACAGCAGAGTCTGTGCGTACAAGCGGCTGGCTTCTTTCAGAAATGCTGACAAAGACTTGATAAAGGCATCAGATCTGTCTTGCCCTCCGTGCTTGGAAAGTGATCTGTTGCCTCCCTCCCTCACCCGGGCTGCTTCTGCAGGAGCAAAGCAATAGTGAGAAAGAGAGAGAGAGCGTGTGTGTGTGTGTGAGAGAGAGAGGGAGCCTGTTGTTGCATAGAGCACGAATAGTCGCCCTGATGTCCCAACGAGGAGGAGGGAGTTGGACTTAGTGTCGCGTTGACGCGTGGAAGTAAAGAACTGTTGATGTTATGTTTGAATAAGTGCAATTAATTCGTGACACAGCAGGTTCTGCAGAGACTGAGCTGCGGTTCCAGGGGACTTGTTTGATGATGAGCGTTTCATCAGAGCAGGACTGCCTTCCTCACGCTGCCACGTCTGTTGGAAGACATCAACAAAGATGATGGATCAACAGACCCTATCGCAATGTACATGTTTTCCCCATTTGATAACACAATTGTATCATACAGCAAATTGTTTTAACGTGAAGACATATTTTTGTACATTGAGTCAAACAAACAATGTTCACTGCCACTTTTCCTGACAGTGTTTTGAGTGCAAGCTGTCAGTGAGGCAGTGAGTTGGCATGTATGAGTTGTGTGTGACTGGACAGCAATGTCAAGGCTACTACATGTGACCGACTGTAGTTATTTTGTTTTTGTTTTTAAATAGGTGATAAGGAGACCTTTATTAATGTATGCACTTGTTCTCCGTTTCCCGTAGCCTAAAATGTAAATATTCGATTTTAACAGATATATTTTGTGTAAAACGATTTTTATAAATAAAGATTAATCTATTTATATTATATGCTTTTTAGTGGTTTGGTTTTTCGTCTGGCATTGCAAACATTTACGCTCAGATGTGTGTGTTTGAGAGGTGTGTGCAAGTTGTGGTGGTAATTGAGCAAACCAGGGAGCTTCTCTTCTATTCAAAGTCCCTGCATGACCTTTTCCCGACTTGGTTGGGTACACGGGGGAAAATTGCGCAGCTGGGTGAGCACTCAATAACCATTATAGACGTGCAGCTTACAGCGCTTTGTCTGCATTCAGGACGGGGAGATTAATATTACGTTTCATGCATTGCATTGTTTCTTTTGCATACTCTGCCTTTACCCAATAGCCCAGAGGGCCTGGAGCGGAGAAAGAGAGGCAGCGGGGAGGAGGGGTGCAATTCACTCCTCTCAAAGGGTATAGACACTTTGAAATACGGCCTGGGGAAAGTCAGCAAGACAATGAGACAGGTCAAAATTCTTATTGCCCGATTGAGATCAATCTAAATAAAACCTGGGGTTGTAGACTAGTCGTATCCCCAACTGTGTTTTTCATGGCGCACACAGCCCAATCAAAAAGCCCATCTCCTGCAAAATGGGGAGCACAACACCACATTGTGAGCACTATTGTGTGCGCCTTTGCGCCTCATTATCTCAATTATGGCATTTCTTCTATTGTAATTAAACACTGATGCCAAATTCAGCGAGGCAGAACGAGAAATAACGAGTTTAATTTCACCTGGTGCTCTCTGTGGGAGTGGAAAATTGGGAACAAGAGGGGCTGACTGAAGCTGGTCTTATAGCCGTAGTATTTTATAATACATTCAAATCAAAAATATATCAGGAGCCAACGTTGATCCAACAATAAAAAAACATGAGTAATAATGGTAGGGTAAAATTGGACTTTTGAAATCCTGCCGAAAAGTAACAGACTGAATGACAAGATGAATGGGGTGCTTTTTTCTTGTACCTGAAAGTGTGCCACATACAGATGCACTCTCTCTCTCTCTCTCTCTCTCTCTCTCTCTCTCTCTCTCTCTCACACACACACACACATATGCTCGCTGCAGCCTGCAGGTGTAAGCCACGTGCCTGTGACAAAGGCTCTAGCGTTCCCATTGGTTAATGGCTCGCGCAGCCTATGTGAGTCCTGTAGGTGAAGGTAGCGACAAATTCAAACAAGTGACAAATTGCATTAATTATGCTTTGCGTTATAACCTTCTAAGTCACCGGGACTCGAAAAGACAGCTCAATGTTGGGCGCAAAACACCCCGCTGCTCCATTATTATGCGGTTGAAATGGTGTTTCTTATATCGTTCAGTATCAGGCAGAGGCCAGCGCACAGCGCACAAAGATGGATATGCAATTTTCCCCTCAGCCATATGTAGGGAGGAGCAGGGGCGAAAATAGATTTATTCATGTCATTTTGTCCGTGGGTCATTTTCGCTTTGACAATACATGAGGGTGATGTTAATTTTGATGTAATCCAATGGTGAATAATCAATCACATGCAACTCATTTATGCATGCGTTTTCGTGTGCAAAGCCATAATCTATGCATAAACCATGGAAACGCCAAATGCGCACATACCTACACTATTATGTAGGGCTAAATTGGCCGTAAGTGGGGTGGTGAGGGGTCAGCTGTTGCTCTGAATGCTGTCATCAGAGTGCTTGGTGGATTTTTAAGCCATTTTTCAAGAACACTAGGCCATCCATTATTTCTGTGTGTGCTTAAATTGCGCACTGCTGAGCTACTTTTGGTGTGCAACCTTCCTTACTTTTATTTTTTGCCCCATTCCCAAAAAAAAGAGAAAAAAAAACGCTTCAAGAAATAATTTTAGAGATAGATGATATTTACATGAAAACAGTCTAACTGCCACTAATAACACAACTGTTTTGTGTCTCATTACTTTCACTTTGGTCATAGAGAGTCTTGGTGTGATTCATTTAGAAATTATATGCTAAGCATTACCATTTAGCAAAACTGAAAAACAGTATTTTGTGAAAACATTCACTTATTTCACATTAAATTATATAGGTGGCCCATCTGCTGATGTATGTGGCAGAGCTGGCTGCAGGAAAGAATCAGTACCTGGACCATCCAATCACAGCTCAGAACCACATGGGCCTGCAGAGCAACAGGTGCATCAGGAACTGCAGAAAGAGTTAGCTACTGAGCTCAAAACATTGGGAAACAAGACTTTGTCTTAGTATGCACCACAACTGTCTATGTCTTTGATTCTTTAATAAAACACAATTACAACAAACCAAACAAACAACTGACATCATTTTACTATGCTCAACAGAGTCAATATAATATCATACACTCCAAATGGCTTATGGCAGATAAACTTGACTCCTTTAAGTTGACAGTAAACTTAGGCATTGTTTTCGCAGAGAGTAACTGATATTAACAACACACAAACCTATAGTTGCTCTGTGAGATACTGCTCAGAGCCACAGCTGGAAAGATGCAAATACAACAAATATACTTCAGACAAAGGAGGAATGACCAGAAACAGAGCGGGGATGTTGTCAAATGAAGAGATGGTGCATAACCTTGAGCAATGCTTACAGGGGTGTTAATGTTTAAGCAGAGGTACAGGCACGTTTATATTTAACATACAGACAGAAAACATGCTGAACTGATTTGGAGTACACTCGTTAACACCCCCACCACACACACATGCACACACACACACACACACACACACACACACACACACACATACACAGGGCCGTGCAGCTGGTTTAGAGACAAATCTGTTGACCCTTTTACTATTGATTGAGTAAGGTCCTGGGTTGCAGAAGCACTATGGGCACACAAGTATTTTGCACTAATCACTGCTACTTCTTCTTTTTTGCCCTGCTAGATGTTATGGTCAGTCACCGCAGGTCACATTGGATCTGAGCCATGAAAATAAAGGCCTTTTAAATTTACTCCTCTCTCTTGACTAAACTTAGAGAGTTTCTGGTGCTGTTCATGCAGCCCAAGCAGTTTTACTTGTCAGATTTTCCTTAAAATAGAGGCTTACTATAAGCACAGCATGAGTTGACATTTGAACCGGTTCAGATGCTAATATCTGCTGTAATGAAATATTCTCTTACTCAGCATTCATTATAGTTTAGTTTTTGGGATTCAAATTCAGACATAATTCATCTGCTAAAGATGTTCTGCAGTTAAAATCAGAATCATGCACAGACTTGTATTGTTCAGCATTGTGTTGAAGGAATAGACATGTGGATCAGCGTCAGAAAGTCCTTTCTCTGTCCCAAAATGGGCCCATCACATTTCATTTGATCATTTCTCTCAATGCAAGGAAATATCATAGGGCCACTCCAGTGTGCTGGAAATCCTATTCCCCACACCGAAAGTCTTACAAAACAGGAGTCTTGCTCACAGCCGCCAAGTCAGTCTTTCTTTCTGACAAAAAAGTCAGTCATTCGACTCGTGTTTTTCTAAAAAAAGAAATCTTTCTCTTTTCAAATGAACGTTTGAATGCGTGCAGCTCAGCACTTTTAACTGACACCTCTGAATGTGTGTGAATAGGTCCTAAACTTCAGACAACCCAGCAGAGGAGTAACCAAGCTCAGGCCTGAAGGGTGGAGGGATGGAAGAGGTGGGGATGTGTGGTAGGGTGGAGGTGGCGGGGGCTGTGATTTGCATGGGCCATTGTGCTGCACAAGTTTGGGTGCTTTTTTTTTGGCCTGGGCCCTTTTGGCCATTTACTTCCACTCTGGCTGGCTGTGGCGGGCTGTGAATAGTCTCTGCTCGGAGGAGACACAAAGGCGCTTTTGTGCGACGGCCGCACCATATTCATCATGTAATGCCTGTAAGACAAATCTGATTGGACGTCTCTGTCACTTTGATGTGGGTCCAGAGTGCGAGTGGCCCTGAGATTGCTAACTTCACTCTCTATTGCCTATTCTGCAGCATTGATATGGGGGTGGAGGCAAGGGGGAAAGAGGAAAGGTGGCTCGGGAGGAGAAAGAGGAGGGAGAAGGGAGAGCAGGCAGGGGGTAGTCCTCATTATTTGCAGGAGCAAATTCATAATAAATTTCCCCATTCTACAAAACCGGGTCGAGATGATTGACACTACTTTACGCCAGCCCTGACAAAAGCCCTGATTTGAGCAGAATACCAAATGAATGGGGCGAGCGTGGACTCAATTCAAACAATTTTAATCTCTCCCTGTCCTCTCTTATTTCTCCTCTTCTCCTCTCTCCCCCTTTCCCTCACACTTACCCTCTTTTTTCAACTCCAACTCTCCTGCCTCTTTTGTCCAGTGCATTCTCGTTTTACAGGGTAATTCTACTCCAACGGATGTGCTAATTGTGCTGGGTTAAACTGGATGCTGGTGGACTCCTCTGATACAGAGCTTATTCTTGCCTAATGACTGTAATGATGGTTCAGAGCGACTGCAGCCTGCAGCCTGGACTGGACTGCTTGTACAGAACTCAAAAGAAATGTTTTTTGTTTTTTTAACTTGTGTGGGCTAACTGGGAGTGATAGAGCAGAGTTGGAGCTGATGTCTAAGGTTAGGTGTAGGAAAGAGGATGATGGCCACAATGATGGGACCATAGACTGGAGCTGCTACAGAAATGGTGCCACAGAATGATGCCTTTAATTGCAGGATAGACTTACTGCAATGTAACTGCAGGCAAATGAGGAAAACATCTTTTGGATTCACGAGAACCAAGTTAGGGACAGAGACAATGGTTAGTGATGAGTGAGTAGGAGAATAACGCAGAATTAGTATACATGTAGTGTGCAAATAGTAGGATAACAAGATTAACTGTGATGAGTGTGAGTACAGTGAGAATGGTACTTTTCTTTACTGATGACTCCAAATTTCAAATTTGGGCAACACGGTGAAGCCCTGGTCAAACAAGAAGCAGTCATCACAGTGTGAAATGTGATAGAATGAGACACCTGTTACATCTCCCCAAAGCATTTTGTTTGCATCAAGCAGAACCCTTAATGGAACAATAATAGTTAATAATGCCAGGACACACACATTAGCAGACATTCAGTA